AAAAATCATAGAGGTTTGGATATCCATCATTTAACTGAATTCGAATTTAAATCTTTATTTACATTACCCTCAACCTCCCTCCACCCCTCGAATATGCTACAAAAAGACTGTACGTAAGTATCATGCATAGATTAAATAGAGCAGAAATCTGGTCTTAATAATAATAATAATAATAATATTCAGCTTTTATATAGCGCAAATCACAATAAGTCTCCAAGCGCTTCCATCATGATCTTGTATTGTTGAGCCGAGCTTTCTATATTCCATCTTCTTGATATTCATTTTAATCATAGATATTACAAAATATGCTGATAAAGTATATACTATTCTTAATGGACACTGAATACATTTAAATGAAAAGTGTATTGAGTCGAATTATAACTACATATTAAATCTAAACATGCATAGGGGTTCATCAACATGTAGTCTTTAATCTCGACTGATCTTGAAAGAGCAAACAAATTATGAATCACATACTCGAGTGTAGTACCATCCAGCCAGGTGAAAAGTTCCCTGCCACTCCTTTGTAGCCCGAACCAGTAACAAAAATATGGATCACTTTGATTAAATGGAGGTAGTAGCTCTTTGAGAAATGTCTGTATTGAAAGCAAAATAAAGAAGAAATATTTTCATTTTCGTTGAATACGTAAGTCATGATAAACAATCATTCTCCCCCCCCCCCCGATCCCTTCATCTTCTTATTAGTCTATGTTCAGAATTTTTGCAATAATAATTATGATTGACTAGCCTTTTAAGGATTTTATTTGGGGGACATGGACGCCATCCTATTTTTTCCCCGTAAACTCGTTTGTTTTTATACCTATGTGCACCGTAGTTGAAAAAGATCCACGATAAACAAAGCTTGACAGACATAATAACCTACTGATAGACCAACATGGCCCACATCCCAATTGGGGACTCGTAGGCTTTCTGACAACTTGCTGAGGGTTCACCGGACGGATTGCCTAAAGTTTTAAAACTTTCCTTATACTAATTCTTTATTTTGTCGGGTTCGTGGGCTGTCGGTCTTGTGGACCTTTTGGAATTTCCAAGCTTTTAATAATTCCCTAAGTATTTCTTTTTTGTTCATGTGTTCCTGTTTTATCCATTAAAAAGCGTCCTTACGTATTTCTTGTTGTCGGTCCCGAAAAATATTGTTAAGTTTCGGTATTAGACCTGTAGACTTTGTTGGTCTGTTTGGAGGTTCGTAATAGATCATAAACAAGTAGGCAGAGTAATCGATTATTTGACTCAAACAACTATTTAAATGTTGAAAAGCATCAGGTATAAACTTACATTAATTTCGGCTGTCTTGATCATAGCCAAGTCACCGCCATAACCCCGACACGTTTCCGCTGCATCGTCCAACGTTGCTGTCGGTTGTTTCATTATAAGATACTGAGATTCACCGAACTCATGCCATTGACAACCAACATCTGTTTATAGAGTATGAAATGAAACTTCTAATTTTTGCATTTTAAGTGGTTCAGAATCTGAGTTTTCTGTCAATTTACTTTTTATTAATTCTTTGAATATATTTATCTAGAGAGTTCGTTTATGTGCCTCAGTTGAAGAAGAAGCGAATAGGAAGCCACTAATGTCCACATTTCGTAACTCCACTGCTCTGATGTAGTCAAAGTGTTACGAGGTGGGGGTAGGTGAGGGGGGGGGGGTCCGTGAGTTTTGAGCAACCATTTAGCTGACTAGTGAATTTTGATGATGATGATATAACATTTTAAAGAGATAAATATGCCAATTTGAGCTCGCTCGCTTGAAAAATAGAGGGAAAAATAATTTATCCTGGCAGGGACGACCCAAAACCCTCATAATTGTATTCGGCCTGCGTGTATTTCGATGACGAAGTGATATCTTTACCACAATGAAAGTGTCTTTTTTTTTGCTCGCTTCGCTCGAGCGCAGTTTGGTAGATATAATTGGGTGGCGGTCCCAGACGGACATCAATAGACCATTTCGTAGTTAGCACATGTGTCATATGACCCCTAATATCCACATATCTTTTAAACATAGATACATCCAACTTTGTGCCTTTTGGAATAATCACAGCTAAAGTCATGGAGGTGATTCTTTGTTTGCCGTCTTGAAAAGATTACTTCCACCTGTGTTCAATAGAATGCATCACAGGTGCATGCATGAATAATGATTACATAACTTTCGTGAGCATGTATCCAGTATTAGTCTCAGTGGGTTTTACAATTTTGTTCAAGTGACCTTATCTGCGCATGCGTAGATCAATCCGCGCATTCTCAGATTGTATCTACGAACTGGTATATTGAGGACATAGACGACGACTTAAATATAGATCGAACAATCTACCTGGAATTTCATCTTCATATGTCTTTAAATCATTCATTTTAGCATACCACTAATATGGTTTGCTGCATTCATTTCATATCAAATTATTTATTAATCGAAAGTATCATGAAATAAAAAAAATATTATAGGTTTCCTTTGATTATTTGATCGAATAATTGTTTGATAATACAATGAGAACATTATAGATGACACAGGAAAGCGGTTGGGATACCCTGCAGAAAGCATGATTCATTTTCTTTAGCATGGGCGTAATGTGTTAATTAATTACAGTAAGCACAATCTTTGAAATAACTTTGGGAGTAATATATGAACCAAAAACTTACGCTTCAAGAATATCATCAAAATGCTCCATATTTTGACTTTATAGTGTATACATCATCATTCACTTACGTAAATGTTTTGGGACATCGCCTGGCAGACTGCAAGTGAATTATTATCCCTTTATTCTTTCTTAGATTAGCTAGACCATGCATTTAATAAAAGCGATTAACTTGATCCTTCGTTCGGTTCTTGTCGTTTTTCTTATTTCGGAACGTAAACTCGGCTAGACAGCAGTGATGATCAAAAAAGTTTATTAAAAATAGCAAAGTTCGTTGTACATCAATTTGTAGTAATATTAGTAAGTTTTTTTTTTGGATATTATACAAATAATACATAGCAGTGAGGGCATTAGTAAGAATTACCCACACAGGGTACCTTTGGAACAATTCTAACACGCCCGAGGCGAAAGCCGAGTGTGTTTGGACTGTTTCGAAGGTACCGAGTGAGGGTAATGTTTATTAATGCCCGAATAAAATGATGTGTATTATGAGTTTTATAAAATAATGTTTTATAATATGATTTTACTAATGACCGGTCATTAGTAAAATTACGCGTTAGGCCTTGTCACGTGTACGCTCTCAACCAATCATTTGATTAGGATCCGCTTTATCATCTTGTAAACTATTATATTGATATAACTTGTAGTTGTTTTCGTAGTTGTAAGCGTTCTTTTTCGTGTAAATGATTATCATGAAAGGCCTGTTTTTCCCACCACATTTTGAGTAGTTTATGTTTCTTTTCAATCTTAAGAAGAAGAAAAAGTGGCAATTGTGTATTTCTTTGTCTTTAAACAAATGTTGAAATAAAGTCGAACTGATTTGAATTCTGTATAATTGTTTCATTATTTCAATTTCCTATTGTAATCTCTCGATATGGTGAAATTGTTTGTGTCTCTCTTTCTTTCTCACAATCTCTCTCTCTCTCTCTCTTTCTATCTCTCTTTCACTCTGTTTTCGAATTCACTATAAACTTCGATTTATATTCACACGCCGTTGATAAAACTGGGATGATTGGTAAAAGAAATTAAATTGCAAATATAAGGAACAGTCTGCTAATATTGATCTAGAATATTTAAACAATGTTATTTTGCACGCTCCTTCAGAACTGGACTAAACATGGTGAGTACGCAAAACGACTTGAAATACCTACCGATAGGTATTTGGCAGATATGCCGTCTCCTTGATGTGCATGTTACTCGATTCCATCGTCCATGTCTTGGGTCAGTGGGGCTCCGTATAGTCCTCATCACAGCACAGTGTGGTGGTGGTTGGTTCGGGTCGGCATATAGAGAAGTATCCCAGTTGGTATACCTTGGAAGTAATTTATTTATATATATTAAATAGGATTAATAAAGAAACTTAGATTCAATCACATCATAATTTCCACAGAAATACTAACAATATATATGAGACATAGTTCTACTACATCATGACTCGATTGTCTTTTGAAGAAAGAAAAAAAAAACATTACATCTTCTGGTAAATCAATATGAAGTGCCTGTGACTAAAATTGGTAATTGCATTGAATTGGTAGATTTGGTATTGCACTCGACTTTTTAAAAAATTTCTTTCGTCCACAAACCTTGAGTTCAGAACAAGTTTTATACTTGTAGATTATGGCATTATCATACATAACTTCGATAAAAACATTTTCGTGCAGAAAACATGCCTTTTACAGGCGTGAAATTTAAAGGTTGATTTGGCGATATAAAAGATATGTTTCTTGAGGCAACCTAATTTCAGTGTTTTTTTTAAATTAGTTTTTGGCATATAACAAATAATGGGCAGAAAATTAAAGGTGATTTAGGAGCGTAAAAGAGCTTTACTAATACCATTCCACTTTTTGCAGATTTCATATGAATTAAGGATCAATATTAATTTCATGCTGTAAAGACTGAAAACTTGATTGGCTTCAGCACTCTACAGCGATTGGGCTTTCGACAAAAACTGGCCCATTATATGACATGTAAGCCAATTCAATTTGGAACTCGTGATTTTGCATGACTCAGAATAGTCCTGGAATGCTGAGATTTGATCAAAATGTGGTTTATCAGCAATTGTTTTTAAATTATTTATGTAATGTTATGACCCAGAACAGATTTGTATTTCAAGATCATTTGAATAAAGCTTTAGAGTTTCACAATAATTTCCTCACTTAATTAGAAACTAGAAAGTAGGTCATTATCATAATGAAGAAATCCTTATGGTAAAAAATGAATTGAAAAAAAGGAGTGGAATTTTATCACGCTGATAGTTGATACATACCCAGGGGCCGTTCCATCAATCCATCTGTATGTACCATCCTCATCCATGTCTTCTAAGCCGATGTAATAGTTACCATAACCCACCATTAATCTCATGGCAATGAAATCCTGTTTATGTTATGAATATAACATGTATACATTTGGAAATTGATATCAATGAGGCAAAATTCAAAACTTCTCATTTCGGTGGAGAGGTGGGGGTGAACACCCAATCTCGCCTTCCCCGATTAAAAGATATCCGAGTCGCATGCATTGTGTTCCTAGCTAAATTAATGAAGCCCCCTCAACATTTTCTGCTCATTAGTGATTACGGCAATAGTTACGATGGGAATATTGCTCGAATATTCTGAAAATATTTAATCGTAGCTTTAGATGTCACGTTTTCCAGACACTACAACCTATAAAAATTTCTCTCTTTAAGTGTACTGGTGGAAATCGTGAGACAGCGGACACAAGCACCAATTTCAGTCGTCGCAGAATTTGCCAAAAATTGATCTATTTTATCTATCTATGTTTCTCTACGATAAAACAGAAAAGAATATAGAAAAGAGTAATGGATCTTATTGGATATTTAACAATAGTCTTTGTGGAAACGTAGAATATGTTAAACATGTGAAAGAAGGGATAATCCGATTACAGGAGGAACTAAAGTTAGAAATAAAAGATATGAGAGTGCTCCGGGACATATATGAAAATGAAAATAAGGAGCTTTTCACAAGCCTTTTCAAAGGGATTAGCCATAGATTCTTTGTAGATTTGTTTGTGAATTCGGTATAAAAAAAGATATATCGACTGCTTTAATATTCGAAGCATAGCTGTTTCTATACTGGCTCTCGGGGACCACCCCGGCGCGCCTCGGGGTCATATCAGGATGTTTGTTTGTTTTATTTTTTCACCTTGTAAAATAATCGTTTACAGATAATACAAGTCAGTGGTTACATTGAGATATAATACATAGTAGGAACAGTGCATAAACTAAAAATGTTTGAAGCGCAAACGTCTTTATAAGTTGATAATTATTATGTATAAAGAGAATATGGCTTTAAATAAGTAAATGTCTATTTAACGTGGAAAGGCGTGTAAAGACAGGAATTCCTATATCTCCATATCTGTTTATCTTATATATATGTATAGAAATACTGGCACATAATATTCGATATAATAAGGGTGCCAAAGGAATAAGTCTATCCAAGATACAAGTATTGGCCATGTACATGGGTCCTTCACCGAGGTTCATTGGTCCCAAATATTAAGTATATTTGTCCTCATATTAACTTGATCAATAACCAGGCAATATCTAAAGGTTGCACCTTAATATTTAGGTGCCTACATTGTGGAACGAGCAAACCCTTGCAAAGGAATATTTTGCAAGCCGGTTCAGTTACTGTGTTGGGCCTTTTTTCATAATGGGCGCTTGTGCCAGATTTTCTGGTTATTTAAAAGGAGTAGTGTTTGCCTTACTATTAGAATCACTTTGCCCACATTATTTACCTTTATAATACGCTGATGCAATAGGCACCTAAAAACACATTTTAATAATTAAGTAGCCTACAATTTGAAATAAGAATTCAACATTCTTTCAAAAAAAACCATATTTTGTTCTAATACAATGATTTTCTTAAAGTAATTATGCAGGGAAATGTACCATATGGTAGTTATATTATAAACTGGGTCGTAAAGGGCCTCTTGGGTTAAAATTAAAATTGCACAATATTCAGTTTTCATAATAAAATATTCATCTAAATTTGTGCCACAGTTGTGCTTTTATCACAAAGCACACGATTACGTTAAGATAATATGATTCATTGTTTAATACATACGTACGTTTTGGGCCCTTTTACCATAATGGGAATATTTGCCATCGATTTTTTTTTTCTCCATTTATATTTATAAAATAATGGTTCCCTGATCAAGGTTAGAATAATTTTACACATGGTCAATACAATACAACTTTATCATGTGAGCTGTGTTTGGTTAGGCCTTTATTTATAGAAAGAAAATGGGCATCCAAAACTATATCTGCTTAATTATTACGATTGCAAAGTAAAAACTGCTATCTGAACGTATTTTATTAAATTAGAATTTCTAAAATATATCATATTTTGACAAATCAGTGTGCCAAACTTGTTGTTTTTATCACAAAATGTACAGTTAATCTGGAATTTTAATACTATAAGGGATACATGTCAATAAGAGTTTTATTGAAAGGTTTAACTTCATAGAGCACCTGCTAATTAGAATATCATGTTTGCTATCAGTCTTGGCAATATTTTACTTCCCTATTTGTTCTGAAGAAATCAAAAGTTGCCAGAAAATCCCGATACATCATAGAAATACGTAGGCAACGGTTGAAAAGAACTAGCCACATTGGGTAAACTGTATAGGGTTTCAATAATACAACGTAAAAGTATTTACATTTACGTACATTTTGTTCAGCTGATGTGATGATTGGCATGTCACCCCCTAAGCTTTGACAGAGTGCACGTGTTTCAGAGAATGTCCTACCGATACCATCTAAAGCATGGTAGAAGACGTACCGATAGCCACCAAACACATCCAACCCTGATGAAGAACACTCCTGACATTCAACTGTAAGCACGGTAAGACAACATTGAGAATGACAGCAATGCTAGGAAAGAAATGTTTTATTTTCATGTGATTAAGTTTACTTTTATTTCAAATTAGCGTGAGTCATCACATTATAATGAACTGTGACTGCCGTTCTTTCGGAGCTCCCGCATCAAGTTACATTATAGAACTAAAATTATAAAGCTTCATAAAAAAATTTACATACACGGTATCAGATATTAGGCAACTAAAACGGGAAACGGCTTGAGGTATTATTCCACGTTTTTTAAAGAATAGAAGATAATCGAAATTCAAATGTAGGCATAAAGGAATCCTTTGACACATCATACAACCACGAACACATACACTGTTTCTAACTCTTAGAGAGATAATACAAACCTATTGAAGATGTCAACATCCACATCAGAGTGAATAACGATTGCAGTAATGGAAAACGAAACATTATCATACGTGTTAATGTGGTCAAGAAAAAAAAGAATCATTCACTTCATATGACAGGTTAAAAGCCAATCGTTGAAGTTGAATTCGTCTTTAAGATGTTTCCAATATATTATGCTCAGAGAGTGAAGTATAAAACTGCAATTGTCATTGACGTCGAAAAGCAAATAACTTTACATTACACATAATCAAATGAGTCTATTTCATACAAATACATATTTAGCAGCACTATACTTCCTCAAAGTCGTTCATCACCGTAAGGTCAGGAACGTTGAACTTCCTGTTGAGCCACATATAATTTCCTGAAATACGCTTGGGCTTACTGTGGGTTTTCTTTTTTTTTAACACTTTCATTTTCAGTAATTTTTTCATTTATTCATGTATTTCTGATATTTAGACAGGGTGACTCATCATCATTAATAATGGTGGTCTTCCATGAGATAAATATAGTTTTATGAAAGACGCCTTGGCTCACTGATTTTTAGTTTGTTCTTGCTGTATACATTATTGTGCATGTATCCCATGAACAACCGCGAATGGGCCGGGGTTAAAAAATATATATATATATATTCTTAGACCTATGTAATAAATACCAAAAAAATAATCTTATTATGAAGCTACAGTTTCCTTTTGAATTGCAATCCCTTCTCAATAAACAATTCATATACATTTTATGTGGGAAACGATTCCTTTACCATATCGTATCATGTGTATCTGGGCTTTTTTAGAATTAGAAGTCACGTTTCGACCGCAGAAAAATTTCCCCCCAATATCCATAACCTCTCAGTATTAAGGATTAGTTTGGGGATCGATTTAATTCCTATAAACGCCTGATCTGTAAGACTACGCAAACAATTGCTTTCTGTTTCAATTTTATTATTTTAATTTAAACGACTCAAATTTATATTCCTTAAATTATATTACAAACGACTGATGTGGAAGACTAAACGCACCCTTTCGAGACAAGCAGGGGGTGGGGGAGGGGGGGGGGGGCTTCTCGAACGGGTACGTTGAACGCGAACGCACCACACCGCACCGCACCGCACCGCACAGCATGGTTTGTGAGTCCAGGGTGCCACACCGGTGCGGTGCTGCGTATTCCGGAGCTCGCAGGTAGGACGTAGGAAATGCTGTTACTTATCATAATGCGAGTATGAGGGCATTCGGAGACCTATCCCATTCGTGAGACTTTTTGTTATATTCTTCCACACTAACATAAAAACAACGAAAAAGCTCTTCACCTTTCTCAGAACTCAGCCTTCTATTTGTGCACCACTGACTTCTGTTATAAATATATTTTTTTCTTCTTCAGGGTGCAGTTCTAAGGGGGTGAGGGGCTCAAGCCTCTCTATTTGAAATGGATTCCTTATCCCCGCCGCCAACCGAAATAATACCCCCCCCCCACAAAAAAGAGGGTCCCAGGGGCGCAGGGTATGGTAACCATCCTAGAAGGCATGTTCTTTAGAATTTGAAGAGATGTTGGAGGTTGTAATATCGACAGTGAAACATGTATTTATCCAATTAAGATGTTGTTTCTTCAAGGCAGAGATACACGAAATACGAAATATATACGAAATATCCTCATAACCTTTAGAGACGTCGGACCGGTATTAACCCTATTTAGCCCGGGGGGGAGCTTTAGAAGCCCCCCCCCCCTCGACATTTTTCGCGATAATTTTTTAACGCAAAAAAATCTTGCACTGAAATTTTGTGACTTTTTTCTTTCGAGTCTTGCGCATCTTTTAAAAGAAATTTTTCGAAAATCGGACCTACCATTACAAAGTCACGTGTCCTTTTGTCTTTGCATGTCAGCCCGAAAATCGCTCATTTTTGTGATTTGTGTACAAAACATATAGAAATCTCATTTTTCAAATTAAGAGAGAAATAAAAACAACAAAAACAATAAAGTACATAAGTTTAAAAAACAAGGAAATACATAAGAAATTATCAAAACAATAGATAACATAAGGAATAACCCTGGTTCTTCAATTTCTTGTGTTGTATTATTATTCCAAATGGTCTAACAAATATATGTAGTGAGAAAGAATGTTTAAATATGAATAATGTTTGATTTATGGGCAAAAATGTGAATTTTATGACCTTATTTGCATAAATTACCATAAATATGCAAATGAGTGAATTTTTCAAGAAATTGAAATTACCATAGTGTTCTATACACTTCACTTGACATTTATGCAAATTTTCGCGGCGATCGGGCGTTTCACGTCCGAGATCATAGGGGGGGGGGGCCTTAGAAGCCCCCCCCCCCCCCCACGCCCCCCGGGCATTGCAGTTTCAAAATAGCCGGGGCTAAATAGGGTTAAGACTCAATTTCCCAAAGACGAATAAACACATTTTGTCATACGTTCTAATGTACTGATGAAAATTTCAATTCATATAGGGGTGAGAAAAAATGTGAGAGAGCAAAGCGACAGAGCTGTAGACCTGTTCGCAGCTTTAACCCTCAAAAACTGGATTTCTAATACAATTTACCTTTCTTCCTGGGGGGGGGGGGTGTATAATCCTTAAGGATCGTGACTTTTCTTCCCTTTCTCTGTCTTTCTTTTGCATGTTCTTTTTTTTTTTTTCTTCTTCTTATTTTGCCGCCCGGGACAAATGCGCCCCCCCCGCCTCCCCATTCCCCCTTAGAAACGCCATTGTGCGCAGTTGCATACCTATGTTCCCTACCGTGATAAGGTATTACAACGATCGTACCATTCAAGAGCTTAGAAAAAGTCAATGACAGAACATAACAAATATGTTTGCTGCCATCTTGTGGCAAAAATTTTGTCTCCTTATTTAAGTAGTCTATGTTACAAACCTTGTTTTAACACGGGCAGCACTTATCAATTTGGCCTGCTATCAAATGAGAAATATTCAAGCCAACATGAGCCCCTATAAAATCAAGAATTACAATGAAATAAACATAAATTAGTACACAAAAAACCTACACCATTTACAACTTTGGGGTGAAGAGAATTAAATAGGACATAAAGGGGATAAAGTGTAATAAATATACGATATTTTGATTCAGTTAACCATACAACAGATTTAATAAATGTATGTATCAAAAGTATGAGTGAATTTGACTTTATTATGGTAGAGGCCTTTTGGGTCGATTGATTTTAACTCAAATAAAAGTTTACAGTAATATTGCACCCAAATAATTAGACTTGACACCCCTCCAGACATTTGGTTTCGTCGAGTCTCCGATATCAGCGATCGTTTCTTCTGTTTTTATTGCTTCTAGCTCATCACACGTGGAAACAATCGTGTGTTTTTGACCCGGCTCTTCTGAATTTATCTTTTCTGTGTGTTTTCGGATTTATTACTTCCACTATTTCATTCAACAAGCCAGGTCCTATTCACACCAGTGATCCAGATCATCGTGATCATTATCAACACACCTATTGCAGGATTTAACCCGGTTTCTGTCATTGCGTGCAATCTCCTACGGCAGCTTAGTGTAGCAGACGACTCGATCATCATGCCCGGCTTTAAGTGCAAGTTCCGTGACAAGGTATTGAGGCAATTTGTTTGCCCTATTTGCCGCTATCCTATGAGGGATCCAGTTCAAATCACCAACTGTGGACATCATTATTGTGATACGTGTCTTCAGGAATATTTGAGGTAAGTTACAAATAAATCATTTTTCTCTGGTATGAACAAAAAACATGAAATTGTACCATTAGGCTTTGCCTGGTAAAATGTAGGCCTATATTATTTGTACTTTGTAGACTTTAATTTTTGTTTTCTGCAGTTACTTGTACAATGTAGACTGTGTGCTAATGAAACGGTGATGATTTGTTCTGTGGTTATTGGAACTGAATCTGAGTCGTATTCCAAACTTTGTCTATTAATGTATGAATTTCATAATTTATTTAATTTTTTTTGCCTTTCTAGCACAATGTCCCAAAATCCAAACTGCTTTAATAATTGGATGGATAACATTTATTAAGAAACGTTCAAAGTACAAATTGACGAGTTTACACAAAACAAGTAAGTCTTTTTTTTGCGTTTTCATTCTTTATTGTTTATACTTCTTTCACGTTGACATGTTGTGCGTTCTATTTGCCATTACTCACTTTTAATATGTGCTAGAAGTCCCATGCTCATATGGTAATATATATATGCTGACTTGATTTGCATTATGCAATTCTACCAATTAACTTTACGCTTTCTTAGCAGTCAGGTAAAATAACCACCACCACCACATGTATATCGTATTCTAATATTTAATTTCTAACCTAAACATACACCTTTACTTAATGGCCAATACTTTCACATTGGTTTTATTGTGCATATTATGTGTTTATGTTCGCAACTTACCTTTTCATATTTACAATTCATCGTTCAAATCCTAACACATTATCGTTGACATATCAGTCAACTTGAATTCCACTGTTTAGTAATTATATTTGCCATTATTTACTTTTGATATGTGCTAGAAATCTCATGCTCATAATGGTAATATATTTATGCTGACTTGATTTGCATTATATAATTCTACCAATTAACTTCTAATTTTACTATTCAATTTCTAACCTAAACCTGTGTTAATGTTCGCAACTTACATGTAAGTATTTACTATTCAATGTTCAAATCCTATCACCTAAACATCCACCCTTACATAACATAATTATTTCCAATTGGTTTTTATTGTGCATAGTCTGTGCTTATGTTTGCAACTTTACATTTTCATATTTACAATTCATCGTTCAAATCCTATCACATCATCGTTGACATACTAATCAACTTGAATTCCACTGTTTAGTAGAAGTAGTGGTAGTATTAGTAGTAAGTCGTATTAGTGGTAATAGTAATACTAGCAGTCATGGTAGTATTAGTAGTAGTAGTAGTAGTAGTAGTAGTAGTAGTAATACCAGTAGTCGTAGTAGTAGGAGGAGGAGTATTAGTAGCATAGTGGTAGTACATGTATTATTATCATTAGTAGCAGTAGCGAAAATGATAACAATAAGAATAATAACAATTTAGGATTTATTAATTCTTGTCTACAAGTGCTGAAATAATTATTTCCAGCTGCAATAGCAGGTGACAACACTAGTTATCAATACAGACAAAGAGTGCAGTATTATACAGTTATAGACTGGCAGGGGGTGTAATACAACATTATTTGGACCGCTGAAGGGAGCTATATTTCCCAAGTGGTTATATTTTCCCGAAGCGCGCAGCGCTGAGGGAACATATGGTCACGAGGGAAAATATAACTCCCGTCAGGTCCAAAGAATGTTATATACCCCCTGCCAGTCAATAACTGTTATATTAGATAGCCTTGTTTTTTTTTGTGGGAGGGGGGGGGGGGGGGGGGGGGGGGGTCCATATTTTTTTTTGCCCTAAATTTTTTTCGGAGACAATCAAAATTACGGAAAAATAATCTGTCAAGATAGTTTAAGAAAAAAGAACCTTATAAAAACATTTTGGGAAAAAATAAAATTCTTACCCCCCAAAAAAAAAATTTCGGGAAGAAAAAAAAAATAAAAATAAAATTAAAAATTTACCCAAAAAAACATTTTTCGGGAAAAAAAGAAAATGTGGACAAAATAATTTTAAGGGGAAAAAAAAAATCATGAAAAAAAAATATTGAAAAAATGAAATGACCCCCGGTAATGGTGTAATGTGTGTAATTGGTAATATACAGTCCTCAAGAGGGCGACATGCATTGATTAAAAATATATTCATTTCACCAGCCGGTAAAATATAACCAACCAGGAAAATATAACAATTTGGATCCTCGCAATTGATATCACGTGACGAGCTTTGGACCAATCACATCTCGGTATCTGTCTAAGCTATCTAATATTATATTATATTTTTTCTACTGATATCTCGAAACACGATTAACATGATGGAATATGTCTTCATACTTTATACATATATATACATGACTCAATACATTTTCCTTTGTATTTGCACCTGCATCGAATCGTTCAAAACATATCTTATATCAAAAATAAGATTATAAAATCATTCGCAACAGATACCTCTGCAGATAGAAAAAATATATAATTTTCGACAATATTACCATCTTTTGTTACTCCATGGTGAAAGAGTTTTGTTTATACATCAATCACATTATTCAGAAAATGACAGTGCTGTAGGAAACCAACTTCCTTGAAGGAAAATAAGTATATATAAACCCATTTAAAGAAACTAATCCCATACCCTGACTTTCATGTGTAGTGGTGGACCTCAGGTAAAGTCTGGTGGAACACAACTATTTCTACCCAAATTTGTCAGACTTCTGCAAATCATGGTATTTCAAAAGGAAATCTTTCTTCTGATCTGTGATATCAAGAGATTTGGGAATAACGCGAATAGACACGGTAAATGAACTATAGACGGAGAAAGGAAAGTCACAATAGTTTTTGACGATTATTCATCCTTGTATTCTAATTTCTAAGTATATCATCATACTTTTTACAGTTATCAAGATTAACTTCATATTTCACGATTTTAAAGTATGGTTTCATCTCCACGGGATGATTGATATTTGGACATTAATTATATGTAATCAATTTTCTTGATAACTCAACTTATTGTGATGGACTCGTGTCTTTTTCATCTCATTAATTAAATTCTTGAGCTGCACAATAAGACAATAATTATGTATTTAATTCTTAATCATAGTACTGTTTAAATGCCTTCCACGTTGTCATAATCTCTCTGTATGGCGTCAGTTAATTCTTCGTAGTTAGCTTCTTGATCAGGTTTCTTCAGACCCTGGTAGGTATGATGGTCGGTGAGATTCTCATTGCTCTTAATATCGGTATTCAGACCCTGGTAGGTATTGGTGTTGGTATGCAGGTCTTGGTAGGTATGGACATCTGTCTTTGACGGATCAAAGACAGGGTTCTCATACTGCGGAGACGAATCAGACTCCTTCCCGTTAGACTTTGTAGCTGATTCATTGCTGAAAGTTGATATTATACAAGTATAAATAAATTGCTTTCATTAAAAAAAAATTGAAAGATTATCAAGTCCGAATAAAAGGGTTTATGTAAACATGTCACCATGACATGTGGGAATTATTACGGTAATTTTACAAAGCATGACATTAACATAACAAGTCTTTTAAACAGGATACCATAACATTTGAACAAGTTATGCTTATATTTACAGTGAATGAATCAAAAGAAGAAGAATAAAAAATGAATGAAATAACTTAATCGATTTAAAACAAAAATACATTCATTATTCCTCTTGTATTTTTGATGGTCATACTGTTTTAGCATCTTGCATGGAAATGTTCGATGAGAATGGACTAATGAGAGGGTCAAGTTAAATACAAGGCATCTCTCTAACCTCCTTCGCTTGTAAAAGATGATGATGATGAGAATTATAGCGATAACAATCACAACAATAGCACCAACAGCGCTTCCTACGACAGTTGCTATGGAACTTGAAGAACCTCCAGCCGAAGTTGAATTTGGTGGAGAAGAAGTAGTAGGTGAAGAGGTTGGTGTTGGACCTTGGATGATAGTGAAAAGGAATGACTGGAGTTAGAAATACCAAGACAGTATCCGAGTTAATAGATACATTTAAAAATGAATCAGATACTATAGATTAGAAATACCAAGGTAGCATCAGAGGTTATATATATATATATATATAATAAATGAATCTCATACTAGCATATGATCATAATCGATTGTAATATCGCGTGAAAACAGACAGGTCCAGTAGGTTACTACCACAGCAAGACATTGATGATTCATGTGAAAACAGGAACGATTTGTGTGTGTCCGCGCGCTCCACAGGGTGCGTGCATGTGTGGGTTTGTGATCATTGTTCGATTAATGGAAAATGTATTGACGTTGTAATCATCAGTATCTACATTCTTCATTTTTCGAAATATAAGCTGTTAATTTGTTTAAATTTGGTTCATGATATTTCAAGCATTTATATATTTCTTAAATATGAGTCGTCAAAATAACGCGTATAAAAAAGATGAGAGGAACGAGCTCAGAAGGCAGGAGGGAATAAATTATAGAACCTACCACTTTCAGTTGTAAATGTCAATGCTGGTCCTTGTTCTCCTTCACCGTTGATACCATCTCGTATCGCTGCAATCTGGACAGAGTACGTTGATCCTGCTTCAAGTCCACTGACGTTATACATGACCATCTCACTGGCATTTTCAGCAGACCTCTTCGATAAGGAACGGTCCGTATTGTTCACCATGCTTGGAGGTTGTACTTCTTTAGCCAACACGACATTGCTACCTGATCGCACGTATATCTTGTATCCAACAATAGGTCCTTCCCCGGTATCAGAGCTAGAGTCCCATTGTCTCCAACCGATGGCTGCGTGGTAGTATCCAAATTCAAGTATTTCTGGTGCACCATTAAAGCTTGGTAACGCTTCATAAGTAAGTGTCAAGACACAAACAAAAAGTAAAATTTAATTTTAAAAAGAATAAAATAATAATAATACTGATGATTATAACAATAAAATCAATCAGTTAGTAGCGCTAAAAATGAAGAGTACCATTGCGATTACAAAAAAGTGTAAAGAAGAAACATGAAATACATAGACTTAGACAAATGAAAATGGGTAAATCGCAATAAGTTACTTATGGAAGTATAATATGCTTAAAGGGATCTTTCAAAAAGGCAAGACAGGTAAATTCTCTGAAGGGAAGTGGCTTTACTTGTCCCATGGATATATTTTTCTTACTACCACTCCCCCCCCCCCATAGAAATATTGTGAAAACAGAGTCAGTTTGAATGAATCGCTCGTACATCGAATCAAATATTTGAAAGGCATAGACCTAAAAACATGACTACCTTTTGAGAAAGTTACTTACGAGCACGCAAATTTTTATCATTAAAGTAGATCGTTTTTTAAAGATATTGACCGACCCCCCGACCCCTTAATTAAACGTGAAAACAAGGAATAAGAAAAAGGTGGGAATAATTTTCTTCTCCCTGTTCCTCATAGAAAGCAAAGGATTTCACCCCAAATTACACTTAAATTCTTATATCTTATATTTCTAAACTATCAAACTAAAGTAATTTTCGGAACACGAATTGCGTCCAAGAAAATAAACTCTTTTTAAATCATGAAGTTATCCGTGGGTGGTCATAAAAATCACTCTTTCTCATGGATATCACAATAGTCCTTGTTGTACATGTTAAATATAAACCCCGAGCCAACATTTAAAGGAATGAATGGCTACAATTTTTACAAACTGGTGCGCATACAATTATGTTCTTTAACCATTTGTTTAATTTCTAGAAAAATAAAGATAATTTCCAAAAGCCTTTTTCTTCAACTTCACAGAGTATTATAGCAATTTTTCACCCATTTAAAGAGTGCTATGCAAATTGTTCATCAAATTAGTACAAAGACCGCTAGTATGAGAAACAACAGACGAAGCAATGTAAACTTGTACATGGCAATTATGCACTAGGAAATGCTTATAGTGCTTAGTGCTTACCAAAGAATTGTCTTGGAGGTAGCCTTATGAACACGAACTCTGAAGGGATTTCAGGATCTCCGACGAAGCAGTAAATTGCTTTCTCTGGTCCCACATCGACGTGAATAAATGAATTGTTGAGGGTTCTATCTATGTATATAGAGCTGCTTTGTGAAATCCAGCTCGCTGCAAAAAAGTCCCCAAGAGCAGCCTTGATGTCCGCGGGGCTGAGAGCTTGCCCTGGTGACGCCGTGAACGAACAAGAGAAGATCGCCACTCCTGGGTTGGTCTTCTCCGAGCTCGTCTCAAAGCGATCTAAAATTTGGTGAAAGAATAGAAAGAAATGGTCATCACCATCAGCTTTTTTTGTGACGTGGGCTTGTGTCGTGACGAGGGCTAGAAGATAAATCACGGGACTGTGAAATATCAAATGGTTTACGGTTCGAATCCCGCCACCCAGCCAGGAGCGGTTCTGAAAAAAAAACTTTTGAGGGAGGAGGGGCTGGGGCTTCCGTGCTTGGGATTCTTGCATACATTTTCTGTATTTATCTCGCGAAAAAGTGGGGGGGGGGGGGGGGGCTTGAAGACTTTTGTAGGGATGGGAGTTGAGAACCCCCACTCCAGCTCCCTCTTGAACCATTAATGCCAGCATCTGGCTCGATATACACTATGTGCACTTCTCAGTCTTCTCAAAAGGCCTAGATTGATTCCCAAAAACGAACAGTGTGCTAATGAGGGCTGCCTCAGCTAAAGTTATTGAAAACGTGTGGCTTATAAAAGTGTTATGTCTTTAAATATTATTTTACAGCATATTCTTTAAAACACAGAAGAGGGCAATATTATCCTACCTGTTTGGCAATGATCCCCTATCCATCTTGGATGACAGATGGATGACAAACAATCACCAGTCAGAAAGTTACAATCCTCAGCACCACCAGAACAATGACATGTCTTTGAACAAGAGCTGTAGCATCCAGAAACTACACGAGAAATGAAGTGTGTCGGGAAAGAATTACATTATAACAGTTCAGACTAAGTGGTTTATTTCTTTCGAAATCAAATATAATAGTTACCAGTGCATATATGTATTAGTTTTGCTCAAAACAAAAATGTGATACTCTTACCATTTTAATAGAAGGGTGATATTTTCTTGCATTAAGTATTATGAACAAATATCCTCAGTGACAGAAAAAAAACTTTTATAAATATACGTTAGAGCATCTTGCCCGAATACAGCTTTCCATATTTACAAAATTTCGCATAGCCAGCAAAATAATTCCTGTTAATGATGTTAAATATTTCCCTCTCAAAAATAAATCTCGCCGTTAATTAGGGACCCGAATCTTAGGAATTTAAAGATTTACAGGAGAGAAAAGGCAGCAGCCCCCTTCTCCTAAAGCCCCATCATTCTCACCTCGTTATTTTCAATCTTTATTTAAGCGCAATCCTTTGGCGTTTATATTGTTAAAAGGAAAACATAATGAAAGCTTGACTTCTCTACGAAAAATCTCACTGAAAATATCAGGACACTATCCGTCTTTTGGTCAATTCATGAATGTCTTAAGTTGTAGGAGAAATAGTGGGTGCTGTATGAATGGATTTATAAATATTAAACTTATAAACTAAGAATAATGTTACATTTTATACAGCTTGATGGGAAATCAACAGAATCAGAAAGATATCCAATGTCACATATTCCTTCAACTTCGGCACAAAATCCAGACTCCTTTTCGCACGCTGTGGCATCTCTGCAGTTACATTTCTGAGTGCAGTTAGCTCCAAAGTAGCCGATGGGACAAACAGACGGAACTAGATGTGAAGGAATATAAAGAGAAATCATGTGAATTAATAATAATAGCTTCTTAAAGAGAGGGCTCATCGCTCGTGGCGTTTTGACATTATCGCTCTGGTTATCATGGTAAAAGCCGAGCATATCAGGCAGAGCTAGTTTATCCAAGGAGGTGAAAGAAATGAGTCGAAATTCTTGTGTAATTTATTCAAATGCATTCGTGAGTTCTAAAGCGTAACAATTGGATGTGTAACATTCCACTTGGCTTTGAAGTTCCATGCTCCGAGCCTCGCTTCCACTGCAGGGATTTTTGGAGGCCAGGCACCATTTTCACATTTATTACAAAATATCAAATTGATGGCAAGATTTCAGTGTAAATCATAAACTTCAAATGGGAAATGTATTGGGAATAGTGCATCAAACAATTTTTCAAATTTAGGACTCCGCCCTTCCTATAATTTTTGTGCCAGAGTTGGTAACAGACAAATTAGATGCTGACAAAAACTCAATATTTTAGAATAATGCGCTAATTTATGCATGTTTTAATGTCCCGTTATGTAATCCATGATTTACAATCTTCGATAACTTTAAGTTTGCTAATGCGTGTTTTAGCGTTTTTTTTTGTATTTTTGCAGTTGGAAAAAAGGAACAAAATTACACAAGTTTGTGTTCGCTTGTTCTACTCTGTACACATTCAACAATGTATGAGAAATCATTGAAAGTGACAGTGAACAGTTGCTGTGATACCATTTTCTGATGTAGGAATTCTAAATCCTGAAATTTCATGCGGTCTTTTATCTCACCACCTGAACAGTTGCAGAATAGCGCACAACTTTTCGGCGGTTTGGAGCATGGGGTCAAAGGAGTGCGGCTTGATTCAAGTCCTTCTCTATCACGTCCCTGGTTTATCTGGTTCCCATTGGACATGAGCGTAACCTATATACATATATGAGGACCATGAAACCTTTTTACCATGCTGATGAACGAATAGGATTCTAGACAATGCAATGGGAGCGTTGTGTCATACCGATGTATCTTTACTTTCAAACATTCAATAATATACCCAAAAGTAAAGTAAATGATTGAACCTTGACATGCTGCTCCAGACCATCCTTGCGAGCAGTCTCCGGGACATTCCCCAGTGAAGGCATCACAATCTGCTCCATCAGTACAGTGACATTCTTGAAGACAATCAGCTCCAAACATACCAACCAAACATGCTTTAAGATTAAAAAAAAATATAAAAAATAGATAAGGTATATACAGACTTGTTGAACATACAAGGAACGTAAACCTATTGGCAATCTCATCTTAGTTTCGGCAGTAATAGATGTCACTTCTCTATTTTTCATGAAGATTCCTGACGATTTGTCAGATCAGCCCCCCCCCCCACACACACACACACTATTTACTTATATCCTTTGCTTTGAGATAACTATGATATCACCGATTAAACACTTACTTTCATTGCAGTAGATTCCTGTATATCCAGCCAAACAGGTACATCCATAAGGGTCAGGTAGACAGATCTGACTTCCAGTACACTGGTCCAGAGGCTGACTGGGACCACATTCAAATTCACAGTCCCAGCCAAACCGATGAATTCCACAAGCTGAAGATAAATATTGTGACATTTTATTTAATTAGGAAACTCACTTAAATCATGTTTATGATATGAAAATTTCAGTTACTCTTACATAAATATTTTTAATTGCTTTAACATTTAATCGCCAATCGCAGCTCAGGTGACGAAAATTTGCATCTTTCTTAAGTCCAACATCGCCTTTCGCCTCAGATATCCGGACTGTTCCAAAAGACAGTCAATGTGGATCATTCTTACTAATGTCCACATTGATGAATATTATTTGTATATCATCATTATACCTTGAAGGCAGTTCTTTCCAGCAAATCCTGGAGGACAGATGCATGTTCCCGAGAGTTCGTGGCATACACCTCCAATATAACAACTATCACACAAAATATCGCACAATGGTGGATTCCATTGGCCATAAGGACATTCTGTTCATAGAAAGAAAAGAGATATGTCATATTTCGGTATGAATTACACTGGACATATGGTATCAACAACTCTCTTTTAAAGTGTACTATTATACAAATAATACACAGCAGTGAGGGCATTAGTAAGAATTACCCACACAAGGTACTTTTGGAACAGTCTAACATGCCCGAGGCGATAGCCGAGGGTGTTTGGACTGTCTTGAAGGTACCGAGGGTGGGTAATTTTACTAATGCCCGAAAAAAATGCTGTGTTCTATTTGTTTTATAAGATTTTGTTTTACTTGTTATGTAAAATGATGTTTTATAACATGATTTTACCAATGACCGGTCATTAGAATTGGAAAATGACCGGTCGTTATCCAAATTACGCGTTAGGCAAAATAAATGCCTGGTCACGTGTACGCTTTCAGCCAATCATTTGATAAGAATCCATGTCATCATCTTATAAATTTTAGTGAATCATGAATATATAGAAAATATAATGAAAAGCTTTCTAAAAATACGGGGAGTGGGTTCTTCATCTGAGGAACCACCCTGTACTAAAACATTGAATGAATAGATAAAAATTTGATTAATAAGGTGTTTAAAAACATGTAATTTGTTATGATTACTCTTAAATGTTACAATTGAACCTGCACTGCATTCTCGAGCAGAACTTCAAAGGAATTATGGAACATTTTAAAAGCACACTTACTCTTGAGTAAAATGGTATTGGGCATTTTAATCAACTAATTAGAAATATTTTACCAGGATTATTAGCAACAGAGGACCAAAACATTGGAAATGACATTACCGATTGGGCACACGATCGCCTACAGTAGGCAGGATTACTCTAATGCAAGGTAAATTTACATGGTATTCTAGTAGGATATTTCAACATTAAAGAGTGAAGTAAAAGAGCGAACCCTTCACGGTGAGTCTTATTAAGCTGAATCGATGTTGTTCCCATGTTCCATCCTCGTAAGTCACATACACACCGGCGTCTGAGATAGATGCAGATTGAATTATATGTGATAGGCTGCCAGAACTCATTCCCAAGAGGAAATCAAACGCGGTTACCTCATCGATTTTCCGCCATCTTATACCGTCTTCACCTACCATCCCTGTCGTGCTCATCACATTGAGTGTGATATTATCTCCAACGTGTACTGTCTTTGTAAACCGACCATCAATGGGTTGCAATTCACCTATGAATAAAAGTTTACCTAATATTTACCCCAAAATATGATTTTGTTTAATTGTAAATTAGTAGTAACCTTTTCCATCTCTATACAGCATTTCTCTCTCTCTCTCTCCCTCTCTCTTTTATCCCTCCCCAGTATTTTCTCTCTTTCCCTCCATTTCTCTTTCTTTCCTATTTTGTTGTATGTGCTTTTCACGAGGTCATAATTATTTCCCATAACGATCCCTGAGAAATATATAATTTCAATTCCATATCATATTTCAATTTTCTTGTCAAATGGAAATTCAGTTTGTCCACAATTTCATACAAATCTAAAAATTATTCTCTAACATGAAAAAGGGTAACCAGTTTTCACTATATCACCAACACCCGTTTTAGTTTGTTGTAATCGGCTAAAAACTTACAAGATTAATCATACAATATGCCTTAATCTACTGACTTGACAAGAAGAAACGTCAGAGAAACTTACGGGTAGAAAGAAGAATGGCAAGAGGAACAGATGTCGTTCTGTAACTGGCTGTTAATGAAGCACATTCGAAGAATCCCAAGCTCTCCGTAGTAGCATGAAGAGTCTGCCTAAAAGCTACAGATGATACCTCATTGTAGTCTCCTGGAGTTGTGTAACTGCCGGGAGTTACATAATCGGTCAGACGGATGAGTCTTCCGTCGGCGAATGTGAGAATCTCTTCATTCTCTGAGCCGAGTAGACATACAAATGAAGCATTCAGCAGACCTCCTCCGTAGGGCGATGGGGTAGCTGCCATTATACGTACAGGAAGGATCGGGCATGGACCTATGAGAAAATTGTTATATTTGTCAAGTGATAAGTGTCCGCCTAGCATTTCTGTTGGAGGAGAACTAAAGGGGAAAATACGCAACGGTGACAAGGCAATGCCTTATCTCACACTTCAACCTTACGTCGCGTATTTTATAATTACGTGTAGCTCTTATTGGAACATACAAAACAGTTTTCAAAAATATACTTCATACTATATCCAAAGTTACCTCCACTTCTAAAACTGAATGGTATAGAAATATAGGCCTATGGGAAACACAATCTAAATGGTAAATGATGCTTTATGAAGTCTCCAGAGCTCCATGAAATTTAAATTCTTGTTCATGATTTGATTATGTCTCATCTAGATAATTGTAATTTTACTCTTTTATGGACTTCAAAAAAAAAAGAAAAACAACGGGTTACGAGAATTCGAAACATACCAGCAGGTTACATACATACATACATATTGATATTATATAGCGCCTTTACATAAAACGCTACAAGCGCTTTACATTAGCAAATAAAACAGAATAATTATTTTGCTCTCCAAGCGCATGAACTGTAAAATGTGTTTTGTAAAGCTGTGTAAGGTTTTTCAAAAAGCTGTGCACCACATTAACCAAGCCTGGTTCAAACAGTACACAATCTCGTTCACATCCCACACAACTCCACACAACACCTTGTCAAAAAAACAATCACAAAGAAAACTAGAAATGCAATCGTGTCACAACGATATACGTGCAATGATGTCGATGTTCCTACGTGTCAAACGAAACAGCTTCTCTCGGACTATCCAAAGCAATTTGTAAAAAGGCTGTAGCTTCTGTGATAGTGGTAGGGCGAAATAAAGGCCTCAAAAGTGGCCCGAAACGGACATAATGGCACCTAGACGGTCACGCGTGAGTTATTTCAGAGAACAAAAATTTCGGTGACTTTGATGGGGTGCTAGAGACTACGTCAAATTTTTTGGAAAGGAATTGGGATAAAGGAAGAGACTATTAAAGAAAGGGCTTG